CTGGCCTGTTCTTGGGCCGTTCCTTCAACGTTAATGCAGAGCTTGTATTTATAAAATGACTTTCACATGTTCAAAATGTCCTAATGTTCTTCACAGCAACTGAAGTCCTTGTGAAGTCTAATCACTGTTGTAGGAGATACAGCAGCTAAACTGTGTGCAACAAACTCTCACAAACAGAAATAAGATGCTGGAAATACTCAGCAGGTCAGGCAGTATCTGTGGGGAGAGAAAGAGTTCACACAGAAACATGGCTATTGCAGACATTCTGTTTAGTGATGATCATTGAGGGATGTTTATTTGAGCTGTAAACCTGAGACCTGTCATGTCCTTTGAAACAATTTCATGCGATCTTTTATGTCCACCTGTGAAGGAAGATGCGGCTACATCTAAAGGTTCCCTCTGAATGACGGGATCCCTGACAGTGCAGTGCTTTCTTGGTCCTACATCAGAATATCAGCCGAGATTTTAAGGTTAAGAATCTGAATGGGATGTTTGAACTAACAACATCCTGACTCAATGATGAGAATGTAATTACTGAACAATAATACATCGTCATTACTTGGGATTATTTCTGGTCTGACACTTTTGAATGACAGAATTGTTACAGTGTAGAAAGATGCCATTCAGTCCATTGTATCTGCACTGGCTGTCTGAGTATTATTCTTGCTCTTATATGTTTGGTTGTTCTCATGGACATGTTCACTCATTGGGCTCTTGGTCAATGTCTGTTTTTCAAACAGTTGATGACAGTTTCTAGAGCAACATGATTCTACAGCAGGAATTGTAGAATGTTTTAGGAAATCATGAAGAAAACTACAGACATCAAACATCACAAAATGGTAATAATATAAACTAAAAAGGCTTTGGTTTGTGATGACTGGGCCTTAACCATTCATGTGTTCTCATTCAACACAAACTGCTTGAGAACTGATGATTTGAAGGTTACCTCTAAATTAATGGCAAGCACTTCTATCTCCGATGTAGAAGCATAATTTAAAACCACCCAAACATGGGCATAATTGTTCTGAAATGTCAATTGATGTGAGTTTCTAACTAAACCATTCAAGTGGAAATTGAGCCGAAGTTTATAAGGGATAATCAAAAATTAATAAGAATAAATGATAAACAATTTGGGTGGTTCCTGGGTTTCAAACTAGTTTCTTTTGGAAGATAATTATCTACAGATTTAAAAAGAACATTTTTCTTTCTTTGAGTTAGGGTTTATATTTAAAAAAAGTTCCAGGCATAATTGACTGGGATGCTGCTGACCCATCAATGCCACAGAAATATGTTCCTGCTCACAATCAGAGGCAATGTCTGAATAGCATCCGCAGTTCTTACTATCTCCCAATAGGAGTCGCTGTGCTCGGCGGTGACGTCCTCGGGTTCCAAGCTCAGGCCAGGCGCGCGGACATAGGAACCCCGCCCCCATCCATTGCTCCCCTTGCCCGTCCTGGAGCCACGGTTTCCAGGGCAACCGCTGCTGGCTCGGGTTGGAGCGAGAAGCCGTTGTCCCTCCCCCTCTCTCTCGAACCAGCTCAGGGAGTAGGGGAGGGGAGTACACTTAGCAAAATCTCTTCCCTTCATTTCCCTCCTCTCTCTGAGAGGGGAGCTCGTTGACACCGACGCATTACTTAAGTGGATTGACAGGGTAGCTGCAAAGAAGATGTTTCCGTCTGGTTGCTTGCGTATCTGATGTATTGCACTGGATCAAAGGCTTTTGGTCCTCAGTGATAAAGGAACTGTCTCTAATGTAGCCAATTTTGCTTTTGCTACCATAGGTAGGAAAGCAAATAGTAAGGAAGATAGTAAGGGTCTGCAGTGTAATTAAATAGGCCAAGTACACGTGAGAAGGTGGGGCAGATGTAGGATAATAAATAAAACAAAGAACTGCTCATGCTGAAGATCTGAAACAAAAACAGAAATTGATGAAGAAATTCAACAGCATCTGTGGAGAGCAAACATTTTGAGTCCAGTGACCATTCTTTAGAAGGGTCTCCAAGATACAGAGAATTTGTTTACGCTGAGGATGTGCAATCTTTGAGACTACTTAAAGTACAGGTTGATAGATTTCTGATCACAAATGACAGAAATGTTCATGGTGTCCCTAGTTCTAGTCTCTCCCACAAATGGAAATACCTTTCAGTATCCACCCTACCAAGTCACCTCAGGACATCATAAATTTCAATGCAATCGCTTCCCTGATACGAAGTTGGGTAAAGTAATTGTGAAGTGGAAGCCAGGAAACTAAAATGTGTGGTTCCTTTAAAAGATTTATTTGTGAGCAGCAGCTGAAGTAGCCAACACAGAGAGAGTCAAAAAGTGAAACAAGTTTTTCAAAAAAGCCTTACAAGTAGCAGGCCAAATAGAGTCTTGTTTTGATGTCGTGATGAATTTGAATTCAGCCAATTAATTTAAAACCAAACTCAGTGATTCAAGGCCAATTGAATTTAAAAACTGATGGTGTTGACAACCTGAAACCAATCATATTATAAAAATTTGGTTATGTTATTACGGATGTATGAGATGAGGGTATTTGGAAAATTGGAGAGAGCCAACTGCCATCTGAAAGAGAGACAACTGTCACCTGCCAAAGTTAGCACAATTCAGCTGTCAGAGAAAGCCAATCTAATTAATCAAAGGTATCACAGTATTTTAGCTCTAAGGCTTCATTGAAGAAATTATAGAGATAAAACATCCCTGATGGCAGAACAGAAGAAAGGTGTTTGTGAAGAGAGCTGGCAGAATATTCCAGAAGACAGTCTGTGCAAACTTGGAGAGATTAAGTTATAATTTATTGCTTTTTATTAATTGGGTTTATATTAGTGGGACTTGTTTTTATTTAAATGGCATTCCAGTAGAATTCAGACCAGTTAGGGAGCAGTTAGTAGTCTAAGGGGGAATTGTTGGTTTGTTAGTAATTTTGTTAATTTATTCATTGTTGGGTTAAATAAATAAATTGTTTCTTGTTACTTGTAAAGTGGAGATCAGGGATTTTCTTTCCTTTAACCATTCTTTTAATAGACTACGAGGGGAAAGATAAGCTTCTTTGGGTGTTTCAGCATAATTGCTAGAGGGGAACCCCTACTCCTGTCATAACCGATTGGGGCTTGTGATTTAGTTTTCATTATCAGGGGGGTCTGACCATTCCCCATTGTAACATCCCATTCTTCTAAACTGCAATGGATGCAGACCATCATTCATGAAAAAAATCATTCACCTGCACTGAGGCTACAAAGAGATTCACTTAGTTCTCAGGTACTTTTGAACTCTTTCCCACTCACCTTAAACCTATGTTCTCTAGTTTTGGACTCACCCACCCTAGGAACATTACATTGACTATTCACCCTATCCATGTCCCCCATGATTTTATAAACCCCTATAAGGTCACCCCTCAGTCTCCGATGCTCCAGGGCAAAAAGCCCCAGCCTATTCAGCCTCTCCTACAGAGAAACATTTCTTCTTTCACATTCAAAGGACAATGATATTCAGGTCAGGATAAATTGAGTAAATTTTTCTCTTCTAATACCCTGTAAAATTTGTTTAGAAAAGTCATTACTTGAAGTAGAAGATAGAAATCAGAGCACAAAAGTCTTTTCTTTCTTTTCCTGTTCCCCAAAATTTGTAAATTCCAATCTCACATATCCTCCTCCCTCCCTGGGCTGAAATCCAGTCCCATCTCCCCTATTTCTTTCCTCCACTCCCAGTTTCCTCCCCCTCCTCTGTCTGTCTTCATTTTCCAGCTTCCTGTCTGCAGACTGAGAATCAAATTAATGTATCAATCATTGTGTCTCCTAGTCAGTTCACAGAAAATAGAATGTCCCCTTGTATTCCAGAACAGACGTTTGGTTGAATCAGCACTGCCATGTTTCCAGGACCAACATTGAATAATTTATCAAGTGACATCCCCAATCGTCCAGGTATAAACTAATGAAGACTTTGTACAGATGGAAGAAAACATTCTCTCTTTTCCATAACTTCTTGAACAAGTTGTACATTGGTGGAAATTGGATTCTGTAAATGAAATCATACTCGACCAGAATAAGCATTACTGCAGATTGTTCCCCAATTTGTAAGCAAATACACACACACGTACACACACACGCCAAAACTCATGTCTAATTGTTCATATCATTTTGGCAGGGACACTTTATTAAACTTGACACATTGTATTGGGACTGCAAACAATCCTGCACTTCTATTTCTTTTTTATTAACTCATATTTTTCTGAAAAGAATTCGATTATTAGTTGAAAGGGACAAAGGTGGAGGCAGGACTGGCGAGGAGTGGTGGGGGTGGGGGGGGGGGGGTTGTGGGGTGGGATCAAAACAGAGACCGAGAAGAATATTAGGACTTTTTTGAGAAGACTTTCAAAATTAAATTTTGCACAGACATAATAATTTGAATTGCTTCAAACTGAGATGTGGCTTCCACTAATTTAGCGGTTCGATCAACTTATCTAAAATATTCCGCAATGCCAGCAAAAAATAAAACTCTTGAAATAAAGCATTAATTCACAGGTTGATCTTCTGGCAAGATGCCTGTGAATGTTCTCAGTACATTGGCGTACTTATTACGTTTTCACCACACATGAAGTTGTCGGTTTGAACCGGACGGAAACATTATCAAATGCTCTGAATGTCATAGTGAATGGAATTTTTATAGATCATGTCTTTTAGAGTTTAACTGAATGCATAAACTGATAGCTGTACGACATTCGGTGTTCCTCTGCTTGAAAAGAGCATCTGCTGAGACCCCTAAAAGTTCATGTCTGTCATCAATTTATTTTCTATTGTTGAACACTTCACAGATAGAAACACGGTATAGATCGTGGTGTACTTGATAGCCTACTGATTTTAAAATCTTTATTTGAAATTTTAATCAGATCATGAAAAGTGCTTGTTAATTACAGAACACCAGTTTTTAATGGTAATGTTGTCACCCAGCATCCATGGAGAACGAGAATGTGCTCCACATTCACGATCGGAGATCATTACGCAGGCGCAGTGACTGGGAGCGATTAGAGCATGCGCGGTGTCAGCCTGGGCAAAGTCAGAGTTGGATTACGGGGAAAGCAGCAAAGGATAAAAGACACGGAGTGACTGAGGGAATGAAGAGAAACGGAGCCGGTGGAGGAGAGGGAAGCCTTCATAGACACTTGGTGTAGGTCTGAGACCGTGAATAAGAGCCTGCGCATCCCTGTTTGCATCGATTAGGCGGCCGCCTTCTTTTGCCCGGGAATTTGGCCCGGATTTACGGCTGCCATTTCTATGCGGGGCAATTGGTAGCTGGGCCGACATTCTCATGCGGGGCAATTGGCAGCTGTGCGCATGCACCACCGCCATGCGCACGTTGAACAAAGACCAGAGTGAAGTCAATATATGTCACTGGTGCAGGCAGTGAATGTGGAAGGTGGTTGAATGGGGTCAATACCTCCACTGCTTCTCGTACATGTTAGTCCTGCTGCTGTTTTGTGTCGACGATAGAGAGACAATTATAATCAACAATATGGTGGCTCACCTTATTGCAAACTCCAATCCACATTTAGAGTTAACGTTTTGAGTCTCGTATGATTCCAGTTATGAAGACGAGCCGGCCCGGACTCCAGACGTTAACAGTAATTTTTGTTCACAGATACTGCCAGCCCTGCTGGGTTTCGAAAGGATCCTCTATGCTTTGTTTCAGAACAAATATGAGTTGGACAAAGAAGTTGGAATTACAGGATTACAGGTATGTGATTGGATTCTCAGGCTGTAGGGGGTTACAGAGAGATGGAGGTGTGTGGGGATGAAGCAGATTACAGAGAGATGGAGGACGTGTAGGCGACGGAGGAGGTTGCATAGAGGGAAGAGTGTAGGGAATGAAGGAGTTTACAGAGAGATGGAGGAGGTTACAGAAAGAATGAAGATTGTGGGAGCAAATTACTGCAGATACTGGAATATGTACTGAAAATGACAATTACTGGAAAACACTGATTCAGGCAGCATCCATGGAGAGAGAGCAAGGTAACGTTTTGAGTCTAGATGACTTCGTCAGAGCATGATGAGGAGTAATCTAGACTGGAAGCATTAGCTTGCTCTCTCTCCATGGATGCTGCCTGACCTCCTGTGATTTCCAGCATTTTTTTGTTTTTGGGAACGTTGTGGGCTGCAGGAGGTTACAGAGAGAGGGAGGGTTGTGGGGCTGCAGGAGGTTACAGAGAGAGGGAAGGTTGTGGGGCTGCAAGAGAGGTTAGAGTTAGGGTGGCATCTTGGTTCTTGTTAAGCCAGTGAGGTCAGGGATGATGGTGGTGTGGATAAGCACAGAGGCAGAAGAGGTTTGTATGCCGGGATTAGGGGGAGTTGGTAATGTGAGAGGTCAGCTGGGAACACATTGGGATAGTTAAGTCGAGAGAAAATAAAAGATATGGATGAGAGTTTCAGCAGCAGATGAGCTGAGACTAGGGTGGGGTGGGATGATGTTACTGAGCTGGAAGTAGGGTGTATTGCTGATTAATGGGGATGTTTTGTTGGAAGCTCATCTTGGAGTGAAATTTATCTCCACGATAGTGAACAGTCTGGATCACCCCTAGAGAGTTACCAGGGAGAGGGATGAAATCGTTGGTGAGGGAGTGCTGTTTGTGACAGGGGGAGAAGACAGTGACTTCAACCTTCCTCATTTCAATGGGAGATATTTCTGCTTACCCAGTACTGGATATCAGATGGTGCATGACTCGGAGGTGATGATGTTCACATCCACCTGCTATCTCAGTTCTTCTTGTTAGTGGAGGCTGAGGGTTTGGGAGATTCTATCAATCCTGTGCTTGGTTTGTAGATTTATAAAAAGCTGTCTCATACTCCCTGCCTGTCCCACTGACTTTCTCTGCTCCCATGAATGGGACAGTCTTGTTTATGTCCTGAAGGGCACCAGATTCTCTAATGTCCTTCAGGATAGAGAACCTAAAGGACATTAGAGAACCAGTTGGGTTTTTCTAAAATTTAGAAGCGTTAAAGTTCACTTCATCCTCGAGCCATCTCTCTCTCTCACTCCCTTTTTTTCTGTTTTAAATCAGTTTCACAGGGTATTAGAAGGGAAGGATTTGCTGCCAAGAAACTGAAACCAAACATCCCATCAGGATCTGACACTTTCCCCATTTAACATAACCTGAAGAGCATCAGATTTTGATCATGGAAGCAAAAGGATTCCATACACACTGAGCAGAATCTGTACGTGTCCTGTTTGTGGACAAGGATTCAGCTGATCATCTGGCCTGTGGAGGCATAAACACATTCACACTGGGGAGAAGCCATGGAAATGTGGAGAGTGTGGGATTGGATTCATATTCCCATCTGAGCTGGAAGCACATCAGCGTAGTCACACTGAGGAGGGACTGTTCAACTGCTCCACGTGTGGGAAGGGATGCAACATTTCTTGCACCATGCTGACACACCAGCAGGGTCACGCTGACAAGAGATCTTTTAAATGCTTGAATTGTGGGAACTGCTGTAAAAGTTCAGAGGAACTGCTGTCCCACCAACATGTTCACACTGATGAGAGACCATTTAAGTGCTCAGATTGTGGGAACTGCTATGAAAGTTCAGGGGAACAGCTGTCCCACCAATGCATTCACACAGATGACAAACCATTCAGGTGCTCTCACTGCGAGAAAGGGTTTAGGTGTTCATCGAAGCTCACTGTTCACCAGCGACTTCACACTGGAGAGAGACCGTTCACCTGCCCTGAGTGTGGAAAAGGATTCACCCAGTCATTCAGGCTGCTGAGACACCAGCGGATTCACTCTGAGGAGAAACCGTTTCAATGTCCAGACTGTGGACAGTGCTATAGAAGCTCCGAGGAACTGGTATCCCACCAATATGTTCACACCAATGAGAGACCCTTCAGATGCTCTCACTGTGGGACTGGGTTCAAACGAGGAACTGACCTGACTAAACACCAACGAGTTCACACTGGGGAGAAGCCATTCCGCTGTTCAGAGTGTGGGAAGGGTTTTATTAGATCATCCCAACTGTTGACACATCAGCAAGTTCACACTGGGGAGAAACCGTTTAAATGTGCAGACTGTGGGAAATGCTGTAAAACTTCTGGTGAACTGATTTCCCATCAAATTCTTCACACTGACGAGAAACCATTCAAGTGCTCTCACTGTGGGTCTCATTTCAGGCGATCATTTGAACTCACTGTACATCAGCGAGTTCACACTGGGGAGAGGCCATTCACCTGCTCTGAGTGCGGGAAGGGATTCACTCAGTCATCCAAACTGGCGAAACATCAGCGATTTCACACGGGGGAGAAGCCATTCAGATGTTCTGAATGTGGGATGGCATTCTCAGAGTCATCCAAGCTGGTGAAACATCAGCGATTTCACACTGGAGACAGGCCATTCAGATGTTGTGAGTGTGGGAAAGGATTCACTGACTCATCTGACCTGCAGAAACATAAGCGAATCCATACGGGGGAGAGGCCATTCACTTGCGCTAAATGTGGGAAGGGATTCATTGATAGTTCTCATCTGCTGAGACACCAGCGGGCTCACACTGATGAGAGACCCTTTCAATGCCCAGAGTGTGGGAAATGGTATAAAAGTTCTGAGGATTTGATCCGTCATCAACGTGCTCATAGTGACGAGAGACCATTCAAGTGCTCTCACTGCAGTGCTGGCTTCAAGACATCGTCTGAACTTGTTAGACACAAGCGCAGTCACACTGGAGAGAGGCCGTATACTTGTTCTGAGTGTGGGAAGAGATTTACTCAGTCAGCCAGCCTGCGGAAACATCAGCGAGTTCACCAGGAACGACCGTGATTAGATTTTGTTGTCGATCACATCGAGGAGTGAACCCTGTTCAGTGGCATCTGTTTCGAATAATTCTCATGAACCTCAGCCAAGTTTTACAACTTATAATATGTGTCACAGGAGTCAAATAAATCAGTTTGGTGTTAAACATGCAGCGTGTCAAGTCTTTAATGTTTCCAATACAGGGTAATGCCTTTCAAAATGCTCTTCTTCTTCCCTATCTCCTCCATCTTCACCTCCAGCACGAAGTGGAGGAGTTCATGGAGTTTCCTTGTCACTAACATGGAGACAATTTAATCAGCTGCCTCTGTTGCTTCCCTCTCTCCCACTAGCCCTCTGGGAGCAATCTGTCTTCTAAAGCTTCCCTTTCCTGAGTCCTGAACATACACTTTATTCAGTTTCTCTCCCATCTCCCCATATTTTCACTTACTGCTCAACCTGTCCATGCCTCAACCTCATTCCCAGTAAGTGGTCACGTCACTTCCACACATTTGCTGATACTGTTGATAGTTGTGTCTCATCAAATCTTGTCTCCCTCTCTCTCTCCCTCCCTCTCCCCCTCCCTCAAATGTGCCATTAATATCGGTCAAAAACATTTCAATGCCTGTCCTGCAAACTACTGCCCTGTCTGCAATGTCCCTTTCCTCTCCAATGTCCTGGAATGTTTTGGCACTTCCTGAATCCCTGCTTTACCTTCACAGAACTCCACATTCAAAATCCTCTGATCAGATTTTTGTCCATGCTACTATTTCGAACCTCATCTTCTCAAAATCCTTGTCATCTTTGAGTCAAAAACATAAACCTGTCTCATGGAGTGTAGTAAACACAGTACAGTCATAACACTGGCATCTTCCCAAACATATGGAAAATTTCCCAGATTTATTTTTGTCCTTACACAAAACAGGACAATTCCAAACTGACCAGTTGCTGCTCCATCAATCAAATATCAATTGTGAGTAAACTAATGGGAGGTGCCATGGACAATGCTGTGAAGCAATAAGCTGTTGCTGATTCCCACTGTGGGTTCTACCAGCAAAGCCTTAGACTACAGGATGATATACCAGGGCTGGTCTGAAGGGCTGAACAGTGGCAAATGGAATTTAATCCTGAACAGTGTTAGGTGATGCATTTTAAGGGGACTAAATGCAGGAGAGTATATGATGAATAGTTTATGCCGCTAGACACAAATTAGAAACGTCCATTTCCACATTTGCAGCAAATGGGAAAACAGCCACAGGCCTCAGTCAGCGACAGGCCTGAGTTTTCATCATTAATAGGGGCAACTTTCAGTGAGATCTGTGCATGGGTACCTTTTTTATAGAGGGCAATGTGCAGCAGGGCGTAAAACCCTGGAACTCAGTTGCTCACAGCACTGCGGCTGTTCCTGCTCCCCAGTGTTTGTCACAAGTCCAAGAGGCAGTTCACTAGCACGTTCTTCAGGGCAACCAGCAATGGAGCATAGAGACTCATCATCACCATCCACATCATATGAATAAACAAAATAAACTCCCTTGCTGCAATACGGTATTGGAGTCTAAGTGCACAGCTACCTCTGATTTTCCCCATGTAAGTTGCAAGTAATGGTAATTTAAATTAATGTAATTTTGACAGAATAATTTCTGACTGTTTGCTGCTTTTATTCACACCAACAGAAACTGCAGAAACATTAGTGGGTCAGGCAACATCTCTGGAAAGGACAAAAGCTGACAAGTGGATCCTGGGTTCTCAAAATTGGTGAGTAATAAAATAGGGCATCGGCTAGAATCTCCCATCTCTTTACTGCTCATTTCCTCTGCATATTATCCTTTGCTTGTGAATTCTTTATTCCTTCCAATTTAGGAAATCTTTTAGGTTTTTTTTTCACTTCCCTGTGTTTAATTTCACTGGATATCTTGCCATCCAATTCGAACTTTAGAATGGTGATGGCTGAACAAGAGAGTCTGCACAGGAGCAGCAGAGTTTTGGATGAGCTTGAGATTACAGGGAGATTGAATGTGGGAGACTGTCTGAGAATGTATTAGAATAGTTAAATCTAGAGTTAACAAAGGAAAAATCACCTGTGGGGAGAAACTCAAATCCATCAAGGACAACACAATATACTTGAATGCTATCCCATCCGGCAACTTCAATGTTCACTCCTTTCACCAGTAAAGCACAGTGTGTATCATCAATGGGATGCACAACAGTAACTCACCAATGGTCCTTTGACAGCCCCTTCCATACGAACAACTTCTCCCACCGATAAGGGCAAGGGCACAGAATCACAGGCACACCATCACTTAGAACTACCTCTCACCCCAAGTCACACACTACCTTGACATGGAACTATATTTTTTGTTAATACTCACTCGTGGGATGTAGGTGTCATGAGCTGGCCAGCATTTAATACTTTAGCACTTGAGAGTCAACCACATTTTTTTGGGTCTGGAGTCAGATATAGGCCAGAACAGGTGAAGAAGGACGGTTTCCTTCACTGAAGTTGGGATTTTACAACACTCGGCAATAGTTTCATGGTCATGTGTAGATGCTTACTTCCAGATTTTTAAAAATTGAATTCAAATCCCACTATTTGCTTTGGTGGGATTTGAACTCGGGTTCCCAGAACATTTTCTAAATTACTGGATTAATAATCTAGCCATAATACTACTAGGCCATCACCTCCCCATCACCATTATATTATTGCAATTAACTCCATATCATGGGGTCAAAATGCCAAAACACCCTTGCTGAAAGCATTGTGGGTGTACCTGCATCATGTATGCTGCAGCATTTCAAGAAGCAGCTAACATCAACCTTTTCAGGTAGTAAATAGGTAATAAACATTAATCTATGTGGGGAACAGCTGATCCTATGAATGAAGAAAAATTGAGGGTGTTCTGATATGTGGCATGCTTGTAGAAGCATGGATAATTCTGTTTGGAGCTTAGATAGTTAAGCAATGATTTCATCAATACATAAATTTATTTCCAGAAGATTTCATCAGCACAACGGAGAAATTATTTATATTGGCAGAACGTTTGGTATCCACAGGATTCAGCTTTCAGACAACTGGCACATAATGTCGAGTGAAAATGCGCAGATTATTTTACTCAGAGAGGTCTGGAAATCTGGAACAGGCTGATTGATGAGTGTAAGCAGGTTCAGCTGTCATTCTTACTATCGATTTGGAATGTAACTTCATGAGGAAGAATTTGGAGGGCAAATTATACAAGGAACTGCAGAGGCTGAAGATCTGAAACAAACACATCACTTGAGATACTTCGCAGGTCTGGCAGCATCTTTAAATAAAAGGAGACATAAGGTGTCGAGTGCAGTGACCCTTCACCGGAACTGAAAGCAGGCCGAATGGTGGTACGCATGCTGATTAATGCGAGGGGAGGGAGGCCGATGCATCGAGACGGAGCCCGAGAAAATGCAAAAAGAGACACAGATTTGGAGGGCTCTGGGCATAGGGTCGGGGAGCTGGGATAAATTTGCAGCGTTTCTCGAGAGAGAGTAAAGCCCCAATGGGCTGAATAGCCACCAGACCCTGCGCTCTGTGACACTGCCTCATTCACTGTGAACGATGAAGCTGGTCCCAGGGCCGAGGGAGAGAGGATCCCACCTAACACCTCACAATGGGTCCCGGCTGATTGACGGCAGCTCACCGACCAATAGGAGGAGAGTAGGTGAGGCTGGCGGACCAAAACGAAGCGCCTGGTCCTCCAACCAATTGGAGTGAAATAGGGGCGCGGCTAGCGGAATGAAACATGACTGTCTACCCGAGGAGGTACAGCAGAAGCTGGGAATGAAAAGCAGTCAGTTTGCACTGGGTCGTTTCATAAAGACCCGGTGTCGGCTCGACCCGAATTAGACACTCCCCGTCGCGCGTTTGTAGCAAACGGGAACACAGCTGTGGGCCTCGGGCGCTAAGGAGCATTATGGGCCATCCCTCACGCTGGATGTGCCTTCTCCTAACTACTCATGGGAAGTGAAGACAGAAATTGCTGGATAAGCTCAGTAGGTTCCTCAGAGGAAGGGTCACTGGTCCTGAAATATTAACTCTGATTTCTCTCCATAGATGCTGCCAGACCCGCTGAGATTTTCTAACAATTTCTGTTTTTATTTCTGATTCCAGCATCCGCATTTCTTTTTGTGCTCATCTGAAAAAGAACAAAAAAATTCTTCCCCTCTACGCAAAATTCCAATGGTGCACTAAATTTCCAGCATTACAGGCTGCCCCTCACTCTGAATGTGCCTTGTCCCAACCACTTCGTGAAACGTACTGATTGTCCCACTCAGTGACAAACTCAATGAGTTCCTCACACTTGTTGGTGGTGAGGATAGAGGAGATAGGGGAGAGGAACATGCTGTCAAAATAATTGTGTCTCCTTTAGCAATAAGATAAAGACTCAATGCACAATAGTTTAACAAAAAGCTGATTTATTGCATGAGGAATGAATCTAATGTTAAGCAGAGTTTGTCAAGATCTAAAAGAATAATTGTGATGGGGGAACTCTTCAGTCAGGGGCACAGGCAGGAGATTCAGATAGTATGTTGCCTTTCTGGTGCGAGTGTCAAGGACCTTTCAAAATAATTAAAGCATATTGTCAAAGAGGAGAATGAGCAGTCAGAAGTTGTTGTACACATTGGTAAGAATGGCACGGTTAAAGAAAGAGTTAAGGCTTTGCAGAGTAAATAAGGGAGGTTAGGAAGAAGGTTAAAAAGCAGCGCTTCAAAGGTACTTTTAAAATCTCTGGTTTACTCCCAGTACCACATTCTAGTGAGAGTAGGAAATAAAACTTTAGGGCAGATAAATTAATGGCTGAAGAGATGATGCAATATGCAAGGATTCAGGTTTTTGGATTATTGGGATCTCTTCTGGGACAGGCAAAATCTGTTCAAAAAGGGGTTGATTTCACCTGAACTTGACAAGGACCAATATCCCAGCAGTGAGATTTGCTAGTATTATTTTGGGAGCATCTAAACTAGTAGAAAGGAGGTGTGTGTGTGTGTGTGTGTGTGTGTGTGTGTGGGTGTGGGGGGGGGGGGGGGGGGGGGGGGGGTAGCGGGGGGCTTCCTAAGTTGCAATGAAAATAGAAAGAGAAATGAGGATGGTTCTGAATGAAAAAAGAGCAAGTTAATTAAAAAGGCAGAAAACAGCAAGTCAGAGAATGGAACAAAACCAAAGTTGTTGGAAAAGCTCAGCAGGTCTGGCAGCATCTGTGGAGGAGAAAACAGAGTTAATATTTCGGGTCCGGTGACCCTTCCTCAGAACTTCCTCAGTCAGAGCATGGGGTATCTCTGAAGAATTAAACTGCATTTATTTAAATGCGAGGGGTCTTACAGGTAACGCTGATGGACTGAGGGCATGTATGGGAATGTGGGATTAGGATGAAATAGCTATTTTAGAAACTTGGCTGAGGGAAGGACAGGACTGACGTTGTTGACCTGCTCGCTGAGCTGGCTTGTTTTCATTCAGACGTTTCATCACCATGCTAGGTAACATCACCAGTGAGGCCTCCGATGAAGTGATGTTGTTCTACTCCACAGGAATTTTTACCATCTGGCCCGTTATTGTGAGTAGTGTCATTTTCGGTTTTGATCTGTATGGGTTTGTACATGAGGTCTAATTCTATATGTTTGTGGATTGCATTACAGATGGAGAACCATGTCTCTACAATTCCCCATGCATGTCTATGTTTGGCTTAGGCTATTATAGTTATATTGTCCCAGTTAAACTGATGGCCTTCATTGTCCAAGTGTACTGATATTCGTCATGTCATTTTGCTGCTAGCTGATGTTCATGCATTCTGATGGCTAGTTTCTTTCCTGTCTGTCTGATGCAACGTTTGTGGCAGTTGTTGCATGATATTTTGTAAACCACGTTGGTTCTGCATTTTGCGGGAATGGGGTCTTTAATCCTTGTGGGTGTTTGTCGTGGAGTGGCTGGGAACTTGTGTGCTACAGTGATTCCTTGTGGTCTTAGGAGTCTTGTTGTCAATTCTGATGCGTTCTTGATATAGGGCAGTGTGGCCAGTGTGTTAGGGTGTATTGTGTCCTCTTGTTATCTGTTTAGTAGGCACCAGTGGATGAAGTTGCAGGGATATACGTTCATAGCGAAGATCTTGTATTGGTGCTCTTCCCCTTTCCTGCATAGTTCTGAAATGTTGCAGTGGGTCGTGGCCCGTTTAAGTCGTGTCCTAATGCAGCTTTGTTTGTGCATGTTGGGGTGGTTGCTGTGGAAGTTGAGGATTTGATTAGTGTGGGTTGCTTTTCTGTCTACTGAAGTTTGGAACTCCCTGTTGGTCATACATTTTCTCTGACGCCCAGAAACGGAAGCTGATTGTTGTTTTCTTCTTTTCTTGTGAATTTATTCCTGTGAATACATTGTTAATGACTTGGTGGGTCTCTTCTATTTTGTTGCGTTTAACAATGACAAATGTGTTGTCCATGTACTGGATACACAGTTTAGGTTGAATGCGACGGACGGTTCTAGTCCACGCATGACTGCTTCTGCAATGAGTCCCGAGATGGGTGACCCGATTGGTGTACCATACAAACTACTAGACTTGTGCCTCACCACACACTTCATCTTTAATGGTCAAGTATTCAAACAGATCAATAGTACACCAACACTCCAGAACTACACAGGAAAGAGGAAGAGCACCCTTACGAAATCTTCGCTATGAACAGATATCCACGCAACTTCATCCGCAGATGCCTACTAACACAACAAACACCCGCAAGGATTA